GATAGATAGATAGATAGATAGATAGATAGATAGATAGATAGATAGATAGATAGATAGATAGATAGATAGATAGATAGATAGATAGATAGAGTATATATCTGTACTTGGGCGCATCTACACTGCACAAACAGCGCACGGGGACAACACAACTCTTTCTCTTTCCGCTGTGGAGCCTTTGATTAAAAGCTTTTGTCAATGATCTCCGGGCGGCGCAGGGATCGATCCTCTTCCCACGCCAGCCCGCATTTCCATAGGATCGATACGATTAATCAATTACAGGTCTGAAAAAACCTCCGATGCCTCCTCTGCTCGCGGCCCCGTAAGGCAGCGCGAGATGGAAGCCTTCTCCAGAGGCTCCGGCGAGGGGCTTTTGGCTCCTTCCTGGGAATCCGTATGGAGCCGTGGGAGAGGCCTCGGCCCTTTAATCCCTTCAAAGGGCTCCCGAAGCGATTCTTTACAAGTCTTTGGGAGCCCTTTGCGAGGCCGAGGGTTGTTTGGATAGGAAAGCCAGATAAAGATATCTCTCCCTCCCCTCCCTTTCTCTTTCGCGGTCGGACGGCCCCTTAAAAAGGTTTCAGTGGCAACAGGAAAACAATTGAAGGCGGCCACTGCGGGGCGGCTCAAGTTACCTGGGAAAAGTAACAGAAATGTCATCTAGCGGCGGGGGAGGAGCGAAGGGCCGCCTCCCGCCAGTGCCCGCCCCCGCCCCCTTCCTCTTTCCCGAGATGCCCTTAGAGTACAAAGCTCCTCTCCGGCACGTGTCTCAACTTCAGCTCGATCCCCCCCAAAGACGCCGGCGGTTCGTTAGCCAGGCCGGCTGCACACAGGCACACACGCAGACGGAGATTCTCCCTTCTCTTGGCGCAATCGCCCAGCAAAGTCTCCCCGGCCGTTAGTTAGTCTTGCCGCCGTTTTGAATTAAGCGCGCCCAACTAAGAAGGACCGAATCGCCTGGAAACAGGGACAAGTAAACCCAACAACAACAGCAGCTCTCAGGTCGCTCTTGGAGACGCCTCTGCCGAAAATGGAAAGCGTGTTAAAATTGCCAATAAAGAGAAGGCGGCTCCGCTTCCGAAGCGAAACAATCGAGAAGTTAGTGGCGGGTGTTTTGCAGCCCAACTCGCCGTCCGAGGGACTTAAAGGAATCGAGGGTCTCCCCGCGGCAGCCTCTCTGAGCGTCACCCATTGACTTTGAGGGGCGTCTTTTGAATAGGTTTCATTTCGGAGTGTAAAGTTCTAATACTGGGCGGCTTTCGTGCTCTATAAAATGAGGGACCTGAAGGTCTTTGTCGCTATAAAATTTGGACATCACAATCTAAAGGGGTCACTTTCAAATTATTAACTAAGTAAATTGCACCACGGTTGTTTTTTAATTTAAAAAAAAGCCCAATGGAACCTAAGATCAAATACGCCTTTCCTTTTGGTATTTACCGGGGGACATAATCATATATATTCTCTGGCTAGAGAAAAGTACATAGCAACTCAATTCAAACTTTTATATTGGGTCCAGGTGTCCCTGCAGTGAACTTTTGGCAAGTTTATTTTTAAAAACGCAGCAACTAGAGCTACTGAGTCCCGTCCAAACAGACGGCCTAGAGCCAAATGTCTGTGAGATATAGCAAAAAAGGCCTATTGTCTAAGACTCCGAGGCAAATTTTTAATCGCGATATACGTATTTCAGACTTAAGGAGAAGTGGGAAAGCAAGAAGAAAGCAAGTGGTTTGGGCAAGATACAATGTCTTGAACGTCGAGTGCGAGTCTCCAGGCGGTGAGAGTCCCTTTGATCAAGAAAATCCAATTATTTGTGTATATACATTTCCCACATAGTGATTACTTCATTAATTGTCCCGCCTTTATCTCCTCCCTTCCCATCCCCCCTAATAATCAGTTCTTTTATCCAGACCAACAAACACACCATAGGAGCTTTGTGGATTCAAAGGATTTGCTTTCGCTTCTGAAAGAGCCGCTATTCTTTGATGATTGGGCAGCGGCAAACTTCAAAGCCATAAATCTTCCTCCTGACTGGCTGGCGGCCCAGCAAAGTCCTTATCAAATTCTTGGAGGTGATCCTGGTGCAGTCAGACAGTCCGCGGAGATCGCGCTGAGCCCGGGCTGGCCGAGACGGGCAGAAGTCGGCGAGGGGAAGAAGAAATCGAGCGGAGGGCGAGGGAACCGGGCAGCTTTTTGGCTGCCTCTTGGCGACTTTATGTCGCGGCGGTGGCCCTCCGGCCTCTTCTCCCTCCGGACGCGATAGCCATGGCCGCGGTGGCCGTCCTCCGGAACGACTCCCTGCAGACGTTTCTTCAGGTTAGTCCCTAGTTAAAGACGGAGGGTAGAGTGCCGGGAGCCGCCTCCTCCGTGACAATATTGGAATGTTCGGGCGACAAGATTGGCGGGAGGCCACAAAGCGGGAAACTGGCGAGCTGGTGGGTATTTAGGGAAGGAGGGGCAGCTCCCTAAGGGCCATCGGAAAAGTTACAGGGTTGATTTCGCATTTAAAATAGACATATTCTGAGCAGATCCCCTGATCCCTGGTCTTTTTTTTTCCTTTTTAAAAAATCCACTTTTGAACCAGAAAAAAAGTTTTTCCCCCGTCTCCTCTCACTGCAAGATTCTCTACCATCAAAGGCCCGCAACTGCATCTAAACCCCGCCCTCCCTTTCCAAAGCTATTGTCCCGAGCCGAACGGTCTCGGAGTCGTCGGAAGTCGTCCAGAGAGTAATTGGCAGGCGGGGAGGAGGCAGCTGGGTGAGAGGGTCTCCTCCAGTGGGGTTGGCGGGGAGGTTTCCAAGTTGGCACCGAGCTGAAATGGGCGGGATGAGAGCGAGGCAGCATCGCGGGCTCTGCCGACTCCGGGCATCCCAAGCTGCGGTTCATTGTCTTCCGAGAAACGCCCCGCCCAGGTGCCGGCTCAGCAACTGGTACTTTAGCGCCTGGCGGTAAAACTTTTTGGAGATGCTGTCTGGTGGTATCCAGCAACGGGCGCTTGCTGCTAGGCGGAGAGGACGAGGCCCGGAGGGACAGGGATTAACCGCCTCTCTTTCTCCACCTTTTGCCGCAGGATCGGACCCCCAGCGCCTCTCCCGACTTGGCCAAGCACTCGCCTCTGGCTCTCCTGGCCGCCACCTGTAGCCGCATCGGGCAGCCTAGCGCGCCGGTCGCTCCTTCTGATTTCCTGCAGGTCTCCTACGAGGCCAGCTTGGGCTCCCCGTCCAGGATCTTCCACCCGTGGAGCAGCGACATGCCGGCCCACTCACCGGGCGGACTGCCTCCCCCGCCGCCGAGCCTCGGGCTCACCCCGCAGCCGGCTTTCGCGGCCGGCCACGAGTTGCCGCTGACGCCCCCCGCAGATCCGTCGTACCCTTATGAGTTCTCGCCGGTCAAGATGCTCCCGGCCTCCATGGGCGCCCTCTCCTCCGCCTGCCCGCCGCCGGCGTACGTGCCCTACGCAGCCCAGGCGGCCCTCCCGCCGGGCTACTCCAACCTGATGCCCCCGCCGCCCGCCCCTCAGTCCTGCCGGCAGCTCTCGCCGGGGCCCGAAGACCTCCCTTGGTGGAGCATCCAACAGGCGGCGCCAGGGCCGGGCACTTGCGCGCATCGCTTCGCCGGTGGGTTGCAGCGCGGGCTGGTCTTGGCGCCCTCGGAGCTGGCGCAGTACCAGTCGCAGCTGGCCGCCCTGCTGCACCCCAAAGCGCCCCTGGCGGCCACGGCCAGGAGGTGCCGCCGCTGCCGCTGCCCCAACTGCCAGGTGGCGGCGGGCAACGGGCCCGACGCCACCGCCGAGCCTGGGAAAAAGAAGCAGCACGTGTGCCACGTCCCGGGCTGCGGGAAGGTCTACGGCAAGACGTCGCACCTCAAGGCGCACCTGCGCTGGCACACGGGCGACCGGCCCTTCGTCTGCAACTGGCTCTTCTGCGGCAAGAGCTTCACGCGCTCCGACGAGCTCCAGCGGCACCTGCGGACTCACACCGGCGAGAAGCGCTTCGGGTGCGCCGAGTGCGGCAAGCGCTTCATGCGCAGCGACCACCTGGCCAAGCACGTCAAAACGCACCAGAACAAGAGGCTCAAGGCCGGCCTCGGCCTTCCCGGGGTCGACGGACGCGCTTGCGCAATCAAGCGAGAGGAGTCGCGGGACTTGTGACCTGTTGCGGGGTGGGTTGTGCTGAGGCGCTTTTCCTCAGCCGCCCGCTTGCAGGCTTCGGAGCGGCTCGCTTCTCTTTCTGAGAAAATTTCCACTTCAGCCCCATACAGATCTGGACATTTCGGGAACAAG